CTAAATGTGTGATTATGGAGTATAAATACGTGATTTATAGGTGTAACGTGGAGCCGGTATCACAGTGTGCTGCCTCGCAGAGCAATAACGAAGCACACTGCCTAAATGCGTGATTATGGAGTATAAATACGTAATTTATAGGTGTAATGTGGGGCCGGTATCGCAGTGTGCTGCCTCGCAGAGCAATAACGAAGCACACTGTCTAAATGTGTGATTATGGTGTGTAAATACATGATTTATAAGAATAACGCAGAGTCGGTATCGCAGTGTGCTGCCTTGCAGAGCAATAACGAAGCACACTGTCTAAATGTACGCGGGCTTCTGCTGCCTACCTGGGTGGTCCTCCTGGTCCTCCTTCAGATGATCCAGTGGCACATCTGTGTCCTCCACCTTCACCTCCAACCAGGCCGCCTCCTCCTGCTCACATTTGGTCCAGACGGGCTTCAGCTCTGCGTCCACCTCCTCCTGCTTGACTTGTGCCTCCACCATGCTGCCCGCCTTGGGACAGAGGACGTGCTGTCTGCAGGGCGACAGCGGCGGAGGTGGGATAGGGGAACCTTTGTGCTGGAAGGGCAGGCAGAGTCGGGTTTATGTTTGACCACTGGGTCAATAGCAAACTATAGCACTTCACGCCTCCCAGTACTTTTCCACGTCAGTTTTGTTTTCATCAGGCTGTTTTCCAGGCTGCTGTTAGTCAGAGAATCTTTTGAAAGTTACACACTTCCTCACTGCAAATCAGAGGGGTGTTTGTGCAGCTCAAACCAGTGAGAAATACACCTCAAGTTCACTGGTCAGCTGGCATTAATCTGGGTGTTGTCAGAGCGGCAGAGTGTTGTGCATTTGCACTGGGTGTGTTTAGTATACATCTGTATCATATCTGTACATTGTGGATGAGGCTGAAGGTCATTTATTGCATGCAAGATGTCGAAAACCAACTAGGACAGGCAGGCAATGCCCCCCCCCCCCCCCCGTGAAGACTGAGCCCATGATGTTTCATGTGAAAGGACGAAAAGGTTACGACCTCCTGCTCCATGCACCCAGGGTCAGCAACCAATACGACGGGGTCATTCTGATGTGCTGCTCCTTGATTGGTCTGACACATGGTCGTCATGGTGCCGAGAAATGTCCTGTAGTAGAGTGGTTTATGCAAATATTTTTTCAGTAAATATTGTACAAGTGAATAATGGATTAGGTATCTGTGTGAAGTTAAATTTGTGACATACCACTGTGGTTCTCTGTGCATTAAAATGTACAGATTAATAGCACAGTGCTTTTCGGGTGAGGGAAGTCCAGGGGTAAAACATACAGCTGCAGAAAAATGAACAGACCACTCTATACTATTAAACAAATCTGCATTTTAAAATCCTGGATTAAATGTGGTTCTACCGGCTGAAGGCTACGATGAGCAGCAGGATGCTTCTTGGTTCAAAGTTTGTAAGACAGCAGTACAAAAGAATAAGGTGAAGCAGGAGACACTGGGAGCGGCCAGACGGCAGACGCGACTCCAGAGATGGCCGTTAACCTATTTGACAGTGCCTCATGAATCGGAGGATGACTGTGGGAAAGGGGAGCCACACTCCTGGGGAAACTGTACAGTGTTTGCTTGAGGAGGGTAGTACTCACTGTGGGATATCAGTCATGATTCAGGATAGACAAGACGGGGGGGTCTGATGACCGTATTACTCCAGATGCACTTTCTCAAGCAGGAGCAATTAGCTGTACTCTGGCATATCCTACTTGCAGTCAGTTGTATGTACACTCAGAGGAAAGTGCGTAGGTAGGTAAGCATGTATGTTTCTTATAGAACCATACATACAAACAGGTAAAATAAATTAGTGCAGTACTTGCAATGGCTATTGCGGCTATGCACACTAACATAAAGCATAATGTACCATATCGCCTTAACATTGGTAAAATTCGCTATACCCGTAACATAACACAGCACATTAGCAGCAATCCATATAAGAAGGAATAACTGAACGGGAGAGAAACACAGTCTTTCCAGGGTATACAATGAGACACTCGTCAGTAATAATTATAACTAGAGATGCACCGATCCGATATTCGGATCGGTATCGGCGCCGATCCAGATCTATTTGACGGATCGGGTATCGGCCATGCGTGACCGATCCACGTCCTATACTTACTTATTTAGTTTTTGGCAATTTCTAAAAAGACAGCTCCTATTTCGTGTTAAATCTATTTGTACAATCAATCGCACGACAGCTCTTTCCCATTTTACATGTGTTTTTTGCGGCATTCGAATCGAACGCTAACGCCGCCCCTCAGTCTTTCTTGCTACTCAGCTGGTGTGACTACAGTGACTTCCGCCTGCTGTGACGTCATGCGCATACTCTTCGCAGTACGAAGAGCGTAAGACGCGACGATCTAGGAGTATTTTACGCTTTTAACAGAAACCAGTAGCACAGCTATTCGCAGTCTTTGTAAAATAAAGCTTTTAGAGGTGGGAATAGCGTTTAATGTACAATCCCACTTAAAGCGCACGCAACTGCGATACAAAAAAAGCAATGGATGATTTGGGAGTCGCTAACTTGGACTGTTGCGAACTCGCTGCAGCTTGTGATACAGAAGGGGCTGCCAACGCAACAAAGTGTAACTGAGCTGACGCCAATGGGAGAAAAAATGTGTTAAATTTTTATGCATTCGCCACTTGTGTATACTTATTTTGAAGATATTCATATTGAACTGCAAATGCCTCAAAAACGCTTAAAACAAAACGTACAAACGAGGTGGAACAGTACGTTATGCACGTATGTTTGTACTAGCCTAATTAAATATTTTTTGTCATACATTTTTTCCATCTGTATTTATTAGCTTAAAAAAAATTATATATAAAGTTTAACAAAGTAAAAAGAGCTCGTATCGGAATCGGATCGGAACTGAAAAAAATGTGGATCGGCCTATCCCTAATTATAACAGTACGCAACTTAAGTCGCGTTAACATAACAGTGCAATTAGGTTAACTAAATTAATACAGCGTTACTTATTAGTTACATAAATAATAACTCAGTACTTACATTCATCATTGACTACATTTACTGACGGGAACAACTGGGCTAACTACGCTTAAACTCCGGCTCGCCGACGTGCTGTCTCTTCTTTCAGGCTTTCCCGCGCTCTCACGTCTCACGTGCACCCACAATCCTTTGCACGCACTGGGTTTCGATGCAGGGGTCTCCAACTCCGGTCCTGGAGAGCTACTAATACTATCCAGTAAGTTTTCTATCACACCTGCTCCTGGTATTTACCTGAGAACTAGTGTGGCTCATCAGAAGCCAGATAGGATAGAAAACCTACTGGATAGTAGCTCTCCAGGACCGGAGTTGGAGACCCTTACAATATATATATTTTTTATTTATTTATTATTATTTACAGACGCACACACATTAATGAGAAATGAGTGAAACAAAAATTGTGCTGCGGTCTCATAAATCTTTCTGCGGCTGTAAATCCAACCTGGTTCAATTAGTATTTTTTATATTAAACGAGGACAGTTATATTTATTGAGACGCAATACAGGATTCCTTGGCGTAATTCACCAAGGTTTGGCGGCTCAGCGGGAGGTAGCCTTGCAGCTCCTGGGGTGTGGGGCTCGATGGGGTGGGGAGCTTCATGGTCCACCAGTGCTCCACCACATTCCTCCAGCAGCCCAAAGACCTGCGGTTTGGTGAAGTGGTGCACATTACCCACAATGCATCTCTGCATGTGTGCCCTGCAATGGACTGGGACAGGCTCCAGGTTCCATTATGACGAAACACGCTCACATTTTAAGACCTGGTATTTATATAAGGAAAATGCTTTTTTAAATGATGTGAGTCAGACTGCATCGTGTTTCATGAGTAAAGGCACGGAAGCATTTGTTTTTTACAGTACAGCTTTATCAAGCGTAGGCACAGACATACCAGCACGATTTATAAATCAACCAGCCTCTGTTTTTTTCCCACAGCGAATTGAGGCTTCCGGAAGGCCCTAGAATAACAGTTACTTATCAAGAGAAGCTGCACGACAGAGATCATCACAGGTCTTCAGGGCCTTATTCAGAGCAGAACACAGCTGTGTTACTCTCCATGGAATGTGCAAAATATTTAATATAATTATGCAGAAACTGTTCACTACACAACCCATTAAAAAAAACTGGAAACAGATAAAAAAAAAGGAACTGAAACAGACCTAGACACTGTGAGGCATTCTCTGCATCAACGTTCATACTGCAATATTACAGAAATGGGACAGATTAATAGTCAACGGAAGTGCAATATAGTCAGATGCCAGCATACAACACGCACACACACATACAGCACGCGCCGCACGCAAAATAAAAGTAAATCAAGTTCAGAAACCTTTTCTTCAATATAAATAAATAGTTTTCAGATGATGACTTGCATGCATGAGAAGCTAACACAATCTGACTCAGTCATACTCTTCAACTAATGTAACAGGCACAAACGTAACGGTAAGGACAAATGCCGTCCCGGAACAGGGACTCTCCATCCCGTCTGTCTCTCCGAAAGCCTGCGTCACTCCAGAAACTCCAGCAGGATCGGAGCCGATATGCATCTGCCCTGTGGGACACGCTCTGGAACCGGGCATCTTTACGGTCACCTCCCTCTCTGATCGGGGGGACAGCGGTGGCACTAAGGGTATTTCTCGATCGGTGTACTTGTTGACTGTACTTGTGTTTTTGGTTACCAGTTTTACGTCGTCTTCCATTACCAAAGACCAGTTCCCATAATCAAGAACAGAAGTACGGAAGACGGTAAAAATACTTGGATGTTGTTCTTGTCCCGCCCCAAATATCGAGCTTGCATTGGCTGCATCCTCTTAAAACAAAACCAATCCCATGATGCATTGCGCCCCAAGTTCGTTCTTGGAGGGCAAGTTAGCAAGTCTGGTCTTGTCAAGACCACAAGTGTGATCTTTGTGTTCTTGGTATTGAGAAACGCCCCTAAATCTGGTCATTTTAAGGGACTCCCCCCCCCGGTGCATTTTCTCTTGGCAGACCCCCCGACCCCCCAGTTTGAACACTGCTTTCTGGTGTTCACTCCCTGTTCTTGTACATACCACTAAGTCCTAAAAAAAAAGCCTCCCACTCAATAAATAAATATAAACTTGCATTGAAACAGCAGCGATTAGGATGCAAATGGACCTCAATGCCGAACTACATATAGGGACTGTGCTGCTCGATAGTGATGGTGCACAGAGGAATGAAAGCTTCAGGCAGATGGCTGTGAGATGATGAGGACGGTCCAGAGAGCTCCTGTTTCTCTCCCACCACTGGGTCTGGGTCACACGTCCCCTGAAGACCAAATCTAGGCTGTGGACCTATAACCCACTTATGTCGACCTCAGGTCCCGGTTTGGCAGAAAAACGATCATTAAGCTAAATAAACTAAAAGTAACTGGAAAAGCTGAATGCTAATGGATCCAGAGTCATAGTGGTGGACTGGTTTGTTTGGATTGCTACTTGTTAGACTGAAAAAACACAGCAACCCCGTAGGTTAGAAGTGGCCTCAGTTGGTCTCTCCCAGGTCCACAGCGCCACCTCTGGTGAGCTTGCGTATCCTGCTAGCATCCTCGTCACGGGGCTGGTAGGTGAGGGAGGGGATGGCACCCATCTGGCTCTGCAGGTCCTGGATCTGGGCATCAGGTTGGAGAGGCTGCACCTCCTCGCCGGTGCGCCAGTAGAGGGCGTACTGCTCCGGGTCGGCTACGCCAAACTTGGCAGCGCAGAGCTGGCCCAGAGCCTCAGCGGTCTGGGACTCGTTCCACTGAAGGGTCTTGGCAGAGCTGAGGTCCCCGTCCTGAAACAGGACTCGCACGAACCTCTGTAACACGCGACACATAGCGCTTAGGACTGTGGACAAGGCCTGTGCTGCACTGCAGCCAGCACAGCACAAAGCAAGCACTGTACGAACTGGCATCTTTGTGAGCCACTTTGGGCCATGGAGCTGACCTGATGGTTCTGGTTCTGGCCCTCCTTGCTCCGCCGCTGACTCCACTCCCTGAGGGATTCCTGGGCCTTACGAGTCAGCCCACCGGGCGGCACCGCCTCCGGCTGACTCTGGATCAGGCACAGGCTGGCATAGACGCTTGTCAGGTAGTATCCGCCTGCAGGAAGAAGCAATTCATTTGATAAGCCTGGTAGCACAGGTACCGGGGAAAATACCGCCTCGGTCCCGTCTCTATCTCTGCACAGGTACCGGGGAAAATACCGCCTCTGTCCCGTCTCTATCTCTGCACAGGTACCGGGGAAAATACCGCCTCTGTCCCACCTCTATCTCTGCACGGGTACCGGGGAAAATACCGCCTCTGTCCCGCCTCTATCTCTGCACGGGTACTGGGGAAAACACCGCCTCTGTCCTGCCTCTATCTCTGCACGGGTACCGGGGAAAATACCGCCTCTGTCCTGCCTCTATCTCTGCACGGGTACCGGGGAAAATACCGCCTCTGTCCTGCCTCTATCTCTGCACAGGTACCGGGGAAAATACCGCCTCTGTCCTGCCACTATCTCTGCACAGGTACCGGGAAAAAGACTGCCTCTGTCTCGCCTCTAGCTCCACCCCCCCACTGCTTGTCCCATCCCCACTCATCTCTAGCTCCATGTCCCGCTCCTTACCCTCCCCTGTAAGCCAGGCGGGCTCCAGGAGCTCCATCATGTACTCAACCTCGATGAGGAGCTCAGGAACGTTGCACTGCACCAGGACGTAGGACAGGGCCGGCAGGAACTCATCAGCGCCGAACTCCTGTCCTCCTGTAATGGTTACACAATTCTTACTCTCAGTATCCTATATTCTATATAGTGCTTAATCAACTGTGCATGTTTATTTCATTCCTCTGCTCTCATTTTTCAATTGTTCTGAAAGTCATTTGGGGCAAAAGGGACTTAAAATACAGTAGCCCCCTCCCCCTTATCACGGATGGTACTGAACCCTATATATACACCCTATAAATACTATGTTATGTATGTCCTTTACATAGCTATGTATCATAAAGTTTCATTTAGAAAATTAGGCACAATAAGAACAATAATAATTTATAATAAAATACAACAATTATAACTTATGCGAACATGTTCGCATGCAATTCCATGGCAGCCAGTCTGATAACCGTTCAGCTACTCAGTCGTTAATCACAGGTAGTGTAACCAGCATCGATACACTGGACCACTGGACGTACCATGCTGGCTTGTGAATTGTTTATTTCTGGAATTTTCCATACAATATTTTCAGACTGCGGTTCAGCGCGGATCACTGAAACTGCGGATACGGTGGTGTAATGAAGGGGATTGTACCGTGGGGTAGAGCAGAGGGGGTGGAAAAGTTATTAAATCATGGTGCCCATAAGCTCACAGCTAAGGGGCTTCTCGAGACTGGGAGAGCCCATCTTAATCTTTAACTGTAACACCACATGGTCAGAGGGGGCGCCCCAGAGCAGGAAGCCTAGCAGGAGCTGTAACACCACATGGTCAGAGGGGGCGCCCCAGAGCAGGAAGCCTAGCAGGAGCTGTAACACCACATGGTCAGTAGGGGGCGCCCCAGAGCAGGAGGCCTAGCAGGAGCTCACCAGTGTTGGCTGCCATCGCCTTGTACACGGCCTTGCAGACCTGTAGCAGTAGTACTAGCTTGTCCATAGGGGAGTACGCCCTCTGCATCAGCACCAGCTTCTGCCGCACCTGCTCCACGCCGCCGGCATCCGGCACCGCCACCCGCACACCGAGGCACTCCAGCGCCCCCTGCTGGGCCCTGCACAGTCCGTCAGCCATCAGCCGAAGGGAGCCATCCTGAACGTGGATCGTGCGAAGGGCCGCGTCCAGTCGGCTCTTCAGCGGCTTCAGGACGCAGCGGAACATGGCCTTCTCCAGAGCGAGGTCTGGGGGGTCGGGGGCACACACAGTTATAGATGGCCTCAACAGACCACAAGCACAAGCATGCCCTCTGACTCCCCAAATCTGCCCCCACCCACAGCCAGGGGGGCTTCAGGCGACTATCATCTCTCACATTCCATTAATAACCATAATGTCATGGTTACCCATAAATCCACCCCCTCCCAGCACAAAATACTAAATATATACACTGTTTCACAAACTGATAAAACTCTAACATATTCAGTGTTATTTGGTAACTTCCTGTAATTTCATCCTGAAGCTGTTATCTTTGCCAATCTATTATCCTTTTCCAAGTCAACAGAAGGACGATGTTACTTGTTAATTTAGTGTTTATTTCCAGATATATATCTCTTTAGCAGTGAGTTAAGGAAGACGTCAGTATATCTCTATGTGCAATATAATATTTTATATTCTGCACAAACTTTAAACCTAAAATACCTAATAATTTCCCATGACCCATAATAATCAGATAAGCAGTTAGAAACTCTGAGAAGGTCCTGCTCATGTCACGTGTATTTATGCATTTTCCGGACCTTTCTCCTGCTCTGGGACCAGGGTCTCGATGGGCGGCTCCAGCTCCCTACAGTCCAGCAGGAAGTTCTTGGCCTGTGACAGAAAGGTCCGCAGGTCCTGGAGCAGCACGGTGGCCGAGGCCTGTCCGGCAAGGCCGGTCTCCTCCCGCTGCCGCCGCAGGAAGTCCTGCACCAGGGTGCCGAAGGCGGTACGCCGGTCCCGGGCCAGGTCCTCCACGAGCCGCGCCACGCGTTTCCCCGGCGTGAAGAACGACATGAAGACGACGCTCATCTTGCGCAGCGTGGAGATGGGCCGGGCAGGCCGCCCAGACGCCACCGGGAAGCTGGTGCCTCGCTCCAGCGGGGTGCGCGTGGGGCTCTCCTCCGCCTCCTCCAGGCTGCTCAGGGAACTGCTGCTGTCCAGCTCGCTAAGGGATGGTGCACGTCTCTGGCCCAGCAGGAGCGCCGGATCCGTCTCAACCTCCTCGGCCGCACCGGGCTCAGCCAGACCCTGCTGCAGAGTGGGGGTCACATCAGCGACATGCACTAACTGGGCCACGACCTTGAGTCCAAACATTGGCCGCGTGATGCCCATTTAGTACTCATCTGCAATATATACTGCTTCATATCTATTAATACTCACTTCCTGTTCCCATACAGGAAGTGCCCCCTCTGACAGCGGGAATAAGCATTGCTTCATATCTCGTGCTGAAGCAGCTGCCGTGGAGCGGCCCAGTGTGACTGGAAGCACGGCAAGGGTACCCGGTACCTTAGACAGGGCCTTGGGGGACTGGTAGTCGTCTTCCTCTACAGTGGGCGACAGGGCTGGGGTCCTCCTGAAGGAGCCGACACCAGGGCCGGCCCTCTTCTGCAAGGAGGGCTGCAGGTACTCCGATTCCTCCTCAGGGGGAGCGGATGGCGCCGAGGGCGCCGGCTGGGTGGCTCCCTCCCCTCCGGGGGCTTTGTGCCGTGTGCCTTTCGCCAGTAGTGGTGGCGGTGGGGGTGGGGCAGCAGGCGGCGACAGCGGGCTGGAGGTCTCCGTGGAGACGCGCACCTTGAGGCTCCGCTGGAACTGGTGGCGCCGGTGCGGGGCCCCGCGGAGGGGCTGCTCCTGCAAGAAGAGCGGGTTGATGAAGCAGAGGGCACCACGGCCTGGGCCGCAGTCCAGCTCCAGCGGGCTCCGCGTGCGGATGGGGCAGAACTCCTCCAGCGGGGTGATGCCCTCTTGTGGCGTGCCGCAGTCCACAGCCTCCAGAGCAGTGTGGGGTGCTGCCTCATCTGCAGCCGGTGGCCCGTTTCGCGGCCCACGGAAATTCAGCGGTGAGCTCCAGAACTCTAACAGAAAGGAGAACGTGAGACGCGCACAGTGAGAACGTGACGGGCGGTGCGGACTCGGCCACGCACCACTGCGGTTAACATGGTTACCACGGCAACCCACCGATGCCCATGTGCGAGATGGACTCGAGCTGCTTGTGCGAGGTAGCCTTAGAAATGGCCTCTGGGAGCTCCAGCGTGAACGGCAGGACGTCCCTGCATGAAACAGGACACACCATTATTGCTAAGGCAAATAACGAGGTAACCGCAGCCATGGTAACTCGGAACGCCAGGGGTGTGGCCTGACCTGCTGATGCAGTAGAAGGCTATGAGCCTGCAGAGGTCGGGAAAGCTGATGGCGGAGCTCTCCAGGGAGAAGGCTGTGGGGGGAGACAGGACAGGCACTCGGGTTTGGGTTCCTGCTGCATTTGGGATGGGGGGGTGGACAGGACAGGCACTCGGGTTTGG